CCACTCAACATATGACTCGAGCTCCATATCCACCAATTTACCAAACCCCTCAATCCAACTCCCCAGCCTCCGTTGCATCGCCTGCACATGAGAACAGAATGTATGCGTCATCTTCACAATTGCAGCAAAGCCAGCAGATGTACTATCCGGGGCCACCTCAGCAGCAATATCCTCCTCCTATGGCTCCTGGAGGACCTTCTCCGTATGCGCAACCACCACCACCCCCACAGCAGCAACAGCACCATCATCAGCAATCCATGACTTCACAGCCAACATTGCTCATGTCACACCAGACAAATCAGCACCAGATGCAACCACATCCTAATCAGCATCAACAGCCTGGTATGACTGGAAGTCCACGAACAAAGATGGAGCCACACGTTCCACAAATTGCTAGACCAAATCCACCTTTAGGGGCTCAGCATTCTGCGAACGGTACACCTCAAATGCAGCCCAACAATCCGCCTGGAAGTGGCGGCAGCGGTGTCAATCCCAATGCCGCACCGGGTCCAATTCCAGCAACTACCCCACTCGTTGTGCGACAAGATAATAACGGAGTTCAATGGATTGCATTCGAATATTCGCGCGATCGTGTTAAGATGGAATATACAATCAGATGCGATGTCGAGTCTATAAACGTTGAAAACCTAGGCCCGGAATTTAAAACGGAGAATTGTGTTTACCCGAGGGCGTGCTGCAGCAAGGATCAATACAGGGGAAATCGATTGGTATACGAAACGGAGTGCAATACTGTCGGGTGGGCCTTGGCAGAATTGAATCCTTGCCTACGTGGCAAACGTGGATTAATACAAAGAGCGGTCGATAGTTGGAGAAACAGTAACCAAGATCCAAGATTGAGAAGTCGTCGAGTTCGAAGAATGGCTAAAATCAACAACCGTAAAGCGGTTCAAGCGGCTACAAGTCATAACCCTCACATGACTGGTCCAAGTCCTACAGGGATGCCACCTTCTGCGAACATGGGCCCTGGCGGTGCGGGAAGCATGGGCAAACCTAACCTTAGCGGTATGGGTGGTCCCCAGCTTCATCACCACCACGCCCATCCTGATGGAAGTAACCAAGGAGGAGAAGAAGTCGGTATGTTTCACCAGATGTGATGTGCGATTATTATTATTTTGTTATGATACCATTCTTGCGAATATACCTATTGATTGGGGGAAATTTGGGGCCTTAAAGTGACTAGTCACAAAAGCACTTTCATGTATAATACAACATTGCACTTTGCTTTCTGCCTTCTGCGATACCTACCCATTACCCCGCGTTATGTCTTTGTATTATTGTATTGCTCCACATTGCTTGCTTTGTATTGTTATTGCTTTGCTTCCCGGATAAACCTGAGAGGCTAATCAATAAACCCATGTGTAGGTGACGACGAATATATGGATGAGAACACTCACCATCACCATCAAGCTCCAGTTGGGCAATCTGCCAATTCGGGAGACGATGTACGACAAAACCAAGCCTTCCCAGGTTTCAACAATAACTACCCTTCGAGTTCAGTAGGCGGAGCTTCCATGATTCCTGGTGCTCACGATGCACGTCCTTTACCCCGCGGGTCCCACCCAATTGCCGCACAATCAAAAGATGATGAGGATGGCGTCGATGTTTTCGGTAATGTTCCAGAAGCAAAGAAGCGCAAGTTTATCTTGGTTGAGGATCCCGTTAAGCAAAGTCGTGTTCGTGTCCGCGTTACTTTGGATACGGTCGATATCAACGAGATTCCAGATTCATACCGAAAGATTAACTCTGTCTACTCACGATCTTGGTTCCCTCTGCAAATGCAATCGCCTCCTCCATTGGCAAACGGCAGCGACTTCTTTCAAGATGATGATAGCGATGATGAAGTTGAAGGCCGAGGTCGTTCTCGACGTGGCAGGAAAATGTTTCCTGTCCATTTGCCAAATGGTGATGAGGCCGAAATCCCTATTCCAAGAATGCGCAAGTCTCAGAGAGCATTGGAAGTCAAGCTTAATGATTTGGGTTATAGAATGACTTGGCATCAAAGCAGAACCTTCGCAAACAAGTCGGTTTTCTTACAAAAAGCTCGTGAGTCATATCCCAGTCCTTTATATCGGCCGGTTGAAAAATTGACACTAATTAATTATAACAGTTGATGCATGGCGAAACAAAGTCAAGGAAAACATCGGTAATGCAGGAAGAGATGTCACTTCCATTCCTCATTTCGATACTCGCTCCGGCAAGCGACGCTGGTTAGAGAGCACCAAAAAGCGCGAGCAACAAGACACCGACCCTTAAACGAGTAGTCACAGGGTTCTAAATCCTCAGCGGTACATAGTACAATTCCAATCCATGGCACCTCTCTTCCCGATGAAATCCTTGGTTAGGGAGGAAAAGATCTGCAAAGAATCAAAGTACCCTCTCAACACAATCCGCAACTGCTCTTTCGAGGAGGTTGGTGCTTTGATACACGCACTGCTCCGGAGTATGAATCTATTGCGTTGCTTTTAGTTATTTGTTATTTGATTTTTGCTTTTTCGTATCATCAATGAGTCAGTGGATAACTGGGTGGATGGATGGGTGGGTGGTTGTTTGTTTTTTTGTTTCGGAATCCGGCAAATTAGTAGTAAAATGAATATATTGGTTCGATTGCCGCGGGGTGAAATGAATGATCTGGGAAGGAAGGAAACGTTTGGTGCACGCATTACTTTTATGACATTGATATTTGGTTTTGGGGACGTGGGTAAATAGATAGGATGGAACGGATTGTTTGGGGAGATGCGAGACTGATCTCGAAAATGAGGAATGGGAAAAGGGTGGAGGCGGGCCTTGTAATTATGCATATTGAGTACACATATAGATTAGGAATGAGCACTCTCATTATATCGGGGCAGCTCGATGAGAGTGTTCGCTTGTTTGTAGAGTTCACGAAAACAAGAGGAAAAATTGAGAAAAACACATGAAAATATGTTGAACACTTTGGGTTTCTCGAAGTGTATATATAAAGTCTCTTTGTGTGGGATGTGGGTTTGGGTGACAAGTTTGACTTGTGTCCATGAGTATATAGGACTTTATTGTGAGAGACTAATTTAATGGGCTGAGAGAAGTATTGCGGCGGTGGTGGGGTGGAAGTGGCTATGTAATCTCTATAAATGGGGTTTCTCCTATTGTGGTTTTTGGTTGTGGGTGGAAGGATAGTGTATCGTGCGGTTGGTTTTGAGAGTCTGAAAGTTTGAGGGTTTGGGGGTTGGGGGAAAGAAGGAATGAGAGAATAAGGAGATGAGGAGAAAAAAGTGAAGTGAAGTGCAGTACAGTGCAGTTGGGGGTAAGGCGATTGAGATTGTGGGAAGAGGAAAAAGAGGAAAATGGGGTGTGTGGGATGAGGGTTAAAGGTTGAGAGAGGGTGATGAAAGAGTGGTGGTTATGGAGAAGCGAGGGGAGAGAGAGGGAGGGTTATTGGATGCGGTGAGTATGGAGTTGAGATCTACGTGGTGGATAGATGGATAGATTGCAGGGCTGTTTGTTTGCTAGGGTATAGGTATACGCAGAGTAGAAGCTTGGTTTGGGGATGGTGAGATTTTGTGTTGTGTTCTCTTGTATCATGTAGAGCATGAGAGGTTGTCTATTGATGGAATGTAGTGATAAGACTAATCGAGCTGAGGGATTAAAGGGGATGGGAATTGGGAATGCTGAGGAGTATGTATGAGGTTATTAGTTTGGGAATGAATATTTCGGGAGAGGGGGCATGGGATGGAATGGTGAAACTACTACATGGATTCGAGAGGGTGGGATATGACATGGGCAGCCTAAATCATTCCTTTGAAAGATTGGTGGAGGGAAATTAGGAAAGTGTGGATGAGATTGGTGGATAATGAAACAATATCCAGTATGCTGTGCTAAACATCTAGAGCCATATTTGCTTTGGAAACATCACCATGTCTTTGTGGTTTGGTAATCTTACTGATTTGACTTTGGAGAGTTTGTGAAATAGCAAGTGTGCTATAGCAGCAATAAGTTATGCAAAGCGCTCTCTATGGAATCAATTCCGATTTTGACTTGTGGTTGTTCATATCGTTTATTCTTGTGCGGGAGGCGAAGGATTGATTGTTCTTGGGAGTTTGGGCAACTTCTTGCTTGCTTTGTGGTTATTTCAGAACTGTTTTCAGTATTGATTGGTGCGGTTATCTAGACGACTGGTGTATCTTGGTGGCATGTAGTGATATGCTAGCATGTAACTTTACATGGTGACTTTGATTGAAAGTTTTATTTTCTCTCAGATGGAAACATTATTACCACCGAAGAAAGAACTTAGATAGTGCTATAGGTGAAGATTGAATAACAACTTCTTCATAAAGTTTATAGAATGTTAGCCCTTAGCTGTAAGGTGTTTGTTCTTTTGATCATCTCGAGAGGTCGATCTCAAGGTGGATTGCTCCTACATACTATGTGACTGGTTTGCTAAAATGGTCATTTATATTTCCCTCTCAAGTCAAGTGAGAACAGGGCATCTCATGTCAAAAATCTACCCGATCAAAACATCAAACAAAGTAAGATAAGACCGACATAGGTATATAAAACTATAATACAGCAGCTCCCTTTTGTGGGATTTCCTGGCATACCAAAATCACTTCTTTGTCAGATTTCTTGAATTAATGATATAATTCACTTTTTATAGATAAATACCCGAAGTAGTGACCACAATAAACCAGAAAAATTCAATCATTTCGGAAGTGAACTCACCGAGTATAGCCGAGCTGTATGGGAGTCAACTTTACAAGCTGTCAAGTTATAATTAGTGAATAGATGGCGACCTCGGAACACATGTTCAAATTATCAAAGTTGCTGAAAGTGAATATACTCGGTTCAGTAAATAAAATAAGCCGGTATCAGGCAATACAGTTCAAGAAGGGCTCGTCTCGATCTACAGAGTCCTCGAATTCCTACTCTTTCACATCTGCAATTATTGAATTTTCTAGACTATTTACCTCTATAACATCAGACAAAGCAACAACAAGATCTTAATAATGTCTTCTCCAGTCGAATTCAATTATTCCCTTCCAATCCAGAGAGACGATGGCAATATTTGCCACATGCCAAACTTCACAAGCGACTTATGGCTAGCAAGAGCTAGAAATTCAGAAGTCCCGGACCTGATACATGATGCCATTGGGTATCTAACGGCAGAGGAAGATCGATCAATCCAGATGAATCGAATTTCACCCAATCGAAAAGTCTTCGTCAACGAGAATGAGAATGCTTCTTTCACAGCTCAGCAGGTTGACTCGAAGACGATCCAAGAGGAACTATCTAGCTTCGTTATGGAAGGTATCTTGAAGCTACGAAAGATGTTCCTTCGTCGCGGAGAAGGAAAAGACTCTGAGAAGTGTAGGTTTGAACAGATTCTTAGATCTGGAAAGGGAGAAAAGAGTCGCACCTACACCATGGGATGGTCTATTCCACCTAACGCGGATAGTGGCGGCGTTGCAACCGCAACGAAGGGCCACTTCAAGCATTGCGATGAGCTTGCAGAAGCTGCTCAGTTGATCGCCAAGGTTTCACAGGCTATCATCCGATACGTCACTCCTGCAGAAGAACTGAGAGTGCTTGAGCTACAATCGGAAATTGATGTAGCGTATACAGTTGGCGACGAGGAGAATAAAAATTTCTGTAAGTTCTGATCCACTAACTTTATATTTTGAACCACCTGCATTTCTGACACATGTGCCAGCAACCGTACAGGTTAACTACTCCAATGTGAACACAGTCTCCCTGTCCGTCGAGATGGGAAAGTCTGGATCGTTACACATAGATGCGAAGGATGATCCAGCGCGGATGTCGGTGCTCCTTAACTTGTCTAATCTTGTTGAAGGATGCTGGCCTGGGACATTCACAATAATGTCACTTCGTGACTACTGGGTATTTGCACCATGTGATGCCCTAGTCTTCAGAGCAAGACATCCTCATTTCGGTATTCCCCCAAGAATGATGGGAGGCTCGCCAAGGAAACCATACGTTGCACCGATTCCGGAATTGGCTTGGATGGATCCAGAGTTATACAATTATTCGAGACTCGTCCTCGTCGCCTACCCACAGAAATATTTGATGAATCGTGCGCCATCTTTAAAGAGGTATAAAATGCCCGATCATTATCAACAAGACAATCCATTGGCTATTACATTTCCTCATGGGGAAGCTTTCGCACTTGCAGCATGGGGAACACTTAGACATCAGCACGAGAAAATCGCAATGCAAGACGCTTGGTGTCTTGCTCACCGTCACAACAGTGGGTCATTAGCTGTGTTACCATCCGCGAAATCAATTGCAAAGAGGGAGGTGTGGAAGGACAAAGACGGGAATATTGTTCTACCTCGAGTAGCAAGAATTCAAACGGTTTTGGATGGAAATACCGCACAGTCTCGAGACTCTGATCAAGCGAAGGCATTCGCTAGACTCAGAGAAATTACAAAACTATCACTTTCTCATGACTATTTCGAGCATCGGTCGACACACATAGACGCCCAATATGTCAGTGTATTGGGCTCTTCGCTGATTAAGCCGCCAGATGTTGCACCCGAGAAGAAACTCACGAGAGCTGCTACTCATGCAATGTTTGGAGAAAAACCATATCAGTGTCCACTTTGTGAAAAGAGAGTTCCGGATCCCTTCGCTTTGAGAGTCCACTTCAAAACTTACCACAAGAATGACCGTATCGAAGATTTTGAAGATGTCTTGCCGACAAGAGATCCAAACCATCTCAAGTATCTACAAGAGGTGGCGGCTTCAAGTGTGGCAGAGAGCTCCAAGAAGGGTGGTAAGCGTCGGAGAATTTCTGATTCGGAAAATGATGAACCGCCAGCACAGAAGATCAAGGCCGAGGATCTAAAGGATGCCATCGCGATCTCTGACGATGAGGAGATTGAGGACTTTGCAGCTCCGTCTATGCAGCACAGGAAGAGGGATTAAAATTTCCTGGAATCTGAGTCGTATTAAACGAATTGTGTCATGAGTATGTAGATATTGCCTGAGCCGTAAATTATTCAAGTAGATAGTGTATCAAATCATTCGAATTTTTCTCTTCAGACTTGTCTTTTTTTAAAGTTAATATGAGAAGGTTCTTGTAGAACCTACGGTGACTCTCACTTCTTTTCTTTTCTCCTTCTACATCTCCTTCTTCTCCAGCTATTGCCATTTCGAACTGGTTTGTATTTATAGTAGAAGGTTAACTAGACACACTGCCACATCATGTAAAATTTAGGGACATAAATACACTCCTCACTATTCATATCATCATTTGATGTTACTATTGGTGACGTAGTTGTATTGACACTATCGGAGCACCGGCTTCTCCAATCTTCATTAGCTAGTCCATTTGAAGTCATACAGAAAGGTCATACTATAGAATTATATTAACTTTATATAAACAGTGATACTGATGTATATCCTCTCTATCAGTTTCAAGCTATCTTTGATTTCATTTGAAAATCATGAGACTAGAACTCACAATTACTTGCGATTTATTAGAATCAAGTATGTATAGTATCTGTTTTACTTAGATGTCACTAGTAATCTTCAGTAACTTCACGAATACAAATGAATGTCGATACTAGAGTCAGTAACATCAGACGATGTCGTTCAAGTACTATATGATTACTAATCATATAATTACTTCAGCTGATTTATTTAGATTATATCTAATAGACACTGAATTGAAGCTAGAGTAAAGGACTCTATGTCTGAGACCTATGTTTTCAGTCTTCTTAATACTTTGCGAGTAAGATCAAGTTTCATTAATGAGATTTCAAGCTATAGTATGTTAATGTTACGTATTCGCTAATAATTAGTCCCTTTAATATTCGACATTGTTAGCTAATAACGCACTATGCCCGTGGGGTGTTGATAAGATGATTTCGTAGAACTGATCTTGTGAGATTATATCTCCCGGAATAATTTCGTAACTCTCTAATTAGATATATATGATACATAATATTCTCAAGCTAGTATATCATAGTATTCATTTCGAACCTGAAAATCGTTTAAGTAACTGACGCTAGTATAGGCGGTTTCTCTTTGTTTACACAAATCTTCAGAATGATTTAGCCGAAAATGCCTACTTCGCTTGATTCTATCGGATCATAGTTTTCTGAGAAATTTATATCTACTTCCAGAAAAGACAAATCTCAATATATCCTTTTGATCTCAAATATTCTAAAATCTCAAGAGAAGTAGAACGCTATATACATACCAACTAATTTTCTCAGACAAGAGACTTCTATGTTATTAGAATCTAATTATAATAGAGTCGTCTAATCAATTTAAATACTCAGAATACTTCGAAATAATCGAAAGTAAAGGAATTCATCAACTAGTCCTATTAGCTACAAACTATTGATGCTTGCATCTGAGTATACTACGTCGAAAATTAGAATCTAATTGAAGAGTTCCAAGATCAAGATCTTGTAATGAAACAAGACAACTGAATAAATATATATTTCCAGTCGTTCCGCTATGTGAATACTACGAAATGAACTCAGTTAGCCATAAAATAATCTTGCTCATTGACTAAAGGCTGTGATCTTAGAATTAGCTAGATATCACGAAATGGGTTTCGTGTTTAGAGATGCAAATACTTTTCGCAGATTATTTCAAGAATGATGGCTCGGAGTACATGTCACCTCTAATCCTAAGTAATCACTGACCCAGAATTTCAGCCAAGTGCACTTCGTCTGAAAGTAATTCTTCGCCGAGGAGCTTTCATAATTTCGAAAGTTGTTCAGATATCGAGAAGCAGAGACAAATTCTGTTTCATTCACTCAGAATCAAGGATCGTTCCTTAATCTGAGTTTTCAAGATACCGAACACACAATTCTGTCCAGATCCACAAATGAACTACTCAACGATGTACCATTTGTGAAATTTCACTCTTCAGTCTCCTTTTCAGGAATGATGAATCTCATGTCAGAGTTGTCCGAGCAGAATTGACTGTGTATGACTGGCTGCCATCCCATCTCGACGAATTGACCGCATCTAGTTCACGCAAATCTATTGAACATTATGTTTATAAGCAACACAATTCAAACTCTCAACTTGACTGTATACAATCGACGCTAGTCGATCTGATACAAGATATTAGTAATAAAAACAGCCTAGTGTCTCGCCTGTAGCTCTACCTAAATCGCGCTTAACAAGAATTCAGAGATCAATAAGCGAGATCTCTGCCGTATTGCAAATTTAACTCTATTTAAGTCGATTGCCTAGTAGTATAACAAACAATATCAGTAAGCAAGATGGTCGCCTTGCTCTCAGCACTCGCGATATATAAAACTAATGGATCTAATACAGGATATTGGTAATCAAAGTAGTCTAGTCTCATGTGCAGCTCTCGCGATATCTCACGCTAATGAATCTCATATAGGATATTAGTAATCAAAACAGCCTAGTCTCTCGCTTGTAGCCGTATTGAAGTCTCGGTTAACTTGAATTGAGAGACTGTTAAGCGAGAACACCACCGTATTGCAGGATTTGGCTGTAATAGAGCCTGCTGCCTAGCAGTGTGTCAAACAATATCAGTAAGCAAGACAGCTACCTTGCTCTGAACACTCACAATCTCTCGCACGCGCTGACTCATTTTGTTCAAAAGTATGCCGCATCGCTACCGTACTTGACGCGCTGATGTATTCTAACGCGCGGTAAATCACCGTGACAAGAAAAATGAGAATTTACTGCCGTACTTTACAAGTCAAACATACCAAAGGTCACGCTAAACAGTGAAAAATGGTATACACACATCAAAAACCATGACCGTAAACCGTATATGCCTAGAACTGATTATCTAACCTTGAGAACCGTAAACATTTGCTAAGACAGCGACTGTTTTGATGTCTCAGATACCGATTCTCATTTGCTTATAAGGGCTTTTTATTCCCACTCAAAATTTCTCTTTCTTTTTCTCGTTCTCAAACACTCTCGAGAAGTGTTAGTTCACTCTTCAACAAATCAACAAACAACAGATCTGATGACTGAACACACCACACCACACCCACTCTCCAGTGCCCACTCCTTGCTTTAAGTTCATCAGCCACGGGCAATTTCAACATCAATGCGACTGCGGCTATTTTCTTCCTTTACTCCAAATTCTCAATCTCATAAGTACCTCGAGTTCTCCCAACTTTCCAACGGCATCGACTTTGAATTCCATCAAAACAACTCAAATTCCATCAACCAAAACACCTACGAACCATCCAAGAAACATCTCCGAATCATCATTCAAGATGTCAGGTTCATTCCCTGTCGATTTTGCTGCCACCCAATTCACGTTCAACATGACAGCACCCACTACCAAGCAGACCAGCGCTCCAGGCAAAGTCCCTACACCTGCACAGTCGGTTCTGAAATCAGCCGATCCCCTTTCTTCCAAGCTTAGAAATTTGCAGTTGGATCCAGAGCAATATGCACAGTCGGTTATGAGCAACTTCGGGGGTTTGCATTTGGATGGACAGCAACGGGCTCCTCTGACTACCGCATGGTCGCGCATTAGCTCTCACGATGCTAATGAATTCGACGAAGACTTCGAAGAAGCCTGGGAGGAGCAAACTTCCAACATCAACGATGAGAGCACCTCACAACAAGGCCCTCGCTTGCCGGATATCCAACTTGCAATGCAACAAGGTATGAGAGTTAAATGCATCAAGTGCAGAATCTCAAACACATACAAGGTATCGCAAGTTTGGTTGCCCAATCCGAGTCAGCCAGAACTTATTGCACCCAATTCGGCAAACACAAAAAGCCATTTGCACATTGCCGCGTGTGCCAAGTGCTCTTTCGGAACTTGTTTGGGTTGTGGTCTAGCTCCCCATTTGAAGGAATGCACCTTTTCAGATACTCGGGCAGCTTGGGAGGCCATGTGCGCTGTGGACGATGCTGCCATTAACTTCCGTCATGAGTCACCACATCTCCCTTTGACTCATGCAACCAGAGAAGTTCTTCCTGCTCTCCTTCAATGCCTAAAAACTCTCAACACCACGGTTGCTAGAAACGGAGCACACACTTTCGGATTTGACCAACTTCTTCGTAAGAGTGTGCTTCTGGATCTGGTTGCGGATTTCATGCGAGACATGACCGTGCAGAATATGGAACTAACTCCACTCCTAATTCAAGTATTGGAGTTCTTGCATATGTTGGCTGAAAACACGGGAACCCGAAATTTGTTCTTCGAAAAGCGACAAGTTTTGAAGGCATCATCACCTGGTCTGCGGACATTGGCCTTCCCTTTGGTTCTTCTTCCAGTTCAGCAAGTCTCTGCTTTCAACTGGGACGATCGCGAAGCCAAAACCTACGCCCTTTGGCCATTAATGCAAAGGAGCCTCAAGGTCGCACAGCAATACATGCATGCGAATCACGATGATGTCTGGTCTGCGGCTCTGGTTTCTCTGGTTCAGAGAATTCCTGATGTGTATGCATTGGTGGCAAGCTCAGTTCCACCAAAGCCTCTGAAGCTCACGTATACGCATTATACGCAACACGAGTTGGGATACGCGATCGGCTTGAAAGAACTGTTCGCCGTTGCGGTAGCCAAGAAGTCGGAAGCCAAGAAGGCAGCTACGACTCAAGAAGATCCCAGCAAGATGGAGGTTGATCCACCTCTGAAGAAGCGTGGTCGTGCTCGTGCTCGGGCCGGAGCTCAGGACGAGGATCAAGACGAGGCCAGCAGGGCAGGAAAAAGAAGAACTGCCGGCAAGAGATAGTGGGTCATTACCACAGGGACTCTCTTGCGAAGTGGAAGTTAAGGGGTGGAGAAAGATGGCTGGCCACAAAGCAGTGTGTGGTGATAGTCACCGGAATTGTTAAAAACATTGTTATGTATTTGTTCGAAATAAGGGTGGCTTGTTAGGGAATGACTGCCAGATATATACTTCACGTTGAAACTTATCACTGCTCAGCACTCTGAGTGGATGACATAGTATTTCTAGAGACTATGTAGGAATTTACACCAAAAAACTCCTCAAAATAGTATAAATGCAAATGAAATGTGACTAAGTGAATGTGATCAAACAAACTGCTGATACCCTAAATGATTATGAATGAAGTGAAAATACTATGAATTGAAATCTTGATGTTATTGTGGAGGTAAAGTAAAGCTTGCTTGATGAGAGAAGATTTAATCGCTAAAGTCATCAAACTACCGAAGTTTTCCCATTATGTCATGTCGCTAACTTCGACCTAGGACAAACCAGCATTTAATCGTGGAAACTAAGAAGGGTCATTGGCTAAACACTAATTCATATACTATACTACCCGGACTAGTAAGTAGATTAAAGCTCTGTGTTGCATGTCTAGTACCGTTGCCGATATTATTGGAATTTCGAGACATGAAACAACATGGTAATAATGAAAGCTACTGAGTAGTTATGATTACGTGGAAGTGCCGAGACCATTCAGAGATGCGAGCAAAACGAGGACCTAAAGTCTATGGCAGTTACGAATTATCGAATATAAAATTAAAATCAAGAACATAAGTTGGTCAAAAGTGGCAAAATCCTCAGACTCATGATACAGTAATAGAGTGATGAGCGAAAGCTACTCAGGGGTGCCAAGGATTCGAATGTGCAATCAGAGATGATAAATCGAACTAGCTACTATACCTGCGATCGCAGTGTTCATATGATCTAGACTGGATTCATAGGGATCCTATGATTTACAAAGACAGCGCTTCTCTCACAAAGCATTTGTAGGGTCATGCGTCCGAGACCATATTGAACTTCTGAGTGGAGATTTCGATGTTATTTTCTCTGAACAAATATTTGCATCAGCCCTTGAATAACAGTTATCAAGGTATCAATTCACGATAACATTTTTTACTATTAATTCTTCCCTCACAAATCACATCCCCCCTGCTAGTCTAGATCTGGATACCCTCAAGTAATGTTGAAAAAAATGACTTGTTGATTCTTCGCTATACATCATAACAGAAATGCTGAGGGGCAAAAAAGCAAGAAAAAGTCCACTACTATCATGCGCAGCAGCCCAAACAAACAAAAATTCAAGATTCAAATCCCATGAACCATAGAAACCAGACCTATGTGTTGCTCTTTTAAGCGAGTGATGCGTACCTTCCAAAATGGTCTAGTGCTACATTTAATTTATGTACACCTAGACAGCATAACAGTACAAGAAAAACGCAATTTCTCGCCAGCGTCCGCGAGACCATTAGCGCCGATAGGAGATGAATAAATTTTAGAGTAAAGATGTTAAGAAAATTGATTGGATTCTTGAAAGTGATTGTAACCCTTGTCTTGGTATGTAAGGATGATGTTCTCTACGTAGCTCCCCGGAAATCATTGGAAAATTGAAACGGATAATCTCCTGAAAAAATGACTTCGACTGCACTTAATTTATCAACTGCCGCACCGAGGACATGGCTGGTAAGAAAGTTGAAAGACTGTATTGCGTTATTCTCTAGGACGACTGAAGACAGTAAGTGCAACAAACAGATGAAATCACAGAAAGTCATAATTAGCGATAAAAAATTCACCAAGGAAAGGTAATAGGCCTACTAAAGCTATCCCCAGATCCCAATGTATACTGTCTTGATGAATTCTGCCGCAGATGACAGCATGCTGACCACAGATATTCTGATATTCGCCAAAGCAAACACTGAGGCTGTAGACAATGAGAGGTATGTACTATATAAATTGTAGAAGAAAAGCCGAACATTATGCAATGACTGCACACTTATTTACTTCTAGCGCTAAACTCAAAGAGGCAAAACTCAGGAAGCAAATTTCAATTCACAAGTACGAGCTACATACTCGGATCTATCATTGAATCATTCTTTGACTCCCCGTCGCTGTTTTTCTTTTCCTACAAGAGATCGTGCCATTGGAGACAACCAGATGTCTGGCCCCTGAACGTCCACAGAGCCTCTGTTTGCTTCTATCGTGGCCTCAATTTCTTTAGCAACAACACGATTGCTGCTAATTGTTGTCAATCCAGATGCCCATCCGTACAGAAACACGGACTGATTAACACCGGTCAGAACTTTTGAGACGTCATAAACGACGTTAGGAAGCTCGGACTTGATAATGGAAACATCCACATCAACTATGGAAATTGGTAATTGCCATTCCAGAGGAATGCTATACTCGGAGAGCTTTTGAAATTCCTCCACCAGCTTGTCTCTTGTCGACTCATGATTGAACCCGAAAACCAGTTCCATTCTTTTCTTTTCGGTGTCTGTTCCAATTGTATCTATGATCTCTTGGGCTCTTGCGACTGCCTCACGAGTACATATGAGCTTTCTAGCACCGCATGCAGGCCAGACAAGACTAGGTAAGAGTTGATCTTCGCTTTCCATTTCCATTTGTTTAATCAAAAACCGATGATGCCAGTCTTTTGATTCAACTTGGCCATGTGAAAGACTGAATTTCGCGTAATTAGCAAACAGGGAAATAACCTACCATTTTTTCGGATAAATGGGTGCACCCATCACGGGACACCATATTTTTTACTTACTCACTAATAAATGCGAATATCATCGTACAATCAACGTTGAGTGTTTCGGAGAATTTCTCAAATGGGTCTGCTACCATACGCTGGAGAACTGTCGATATCTCAAGGCTTGTAGGAATATCTTCAAATATCTGCACTGTAACTCCCAATGCCCGGATCTCTTGTAAAACACTAGCCACCTGCTTGGGACAATCTCGTGTGATTCTAGGAAGTACCATACGTACCGATGGGTACCGGTATTTGGTTCTGGCCAGTTTAGAAGCTTCTACGAGCAACCTGGCTTGCTTTAAAAGACCTTCTGGCTCATCGTCTGGGTCTGATTGAGCGAAATCCTCACCCTCATCATCAGTTGAATCATCTTCGGCCCATCCAGCCTTGGCTAGATCAAATATCATCCTTCGAGCAGTAATTGTATTGACTTTGACCCATTCAAGATTCTCTCCAGCTACAACATCGACCTCCACACTTTTAATATTGCTCTGCGCCGAGAGGTCACCTCGTTTAGATTTGAGCAGAGTTTGACCAGTAGTCCAAAAGAAACGTTTTCTCAGAGCTGTAATGCCCTTGCAACCCTTTGCTGTATTCCAAACAGCGGAATAGAATGGAAAATTCGAAGAGCTAACTGTATGGGCCACCTTTTCATCTTCAGGGTCTAAATTCGCAAGTCTTGTTAGAGATTTGATCTCAGATTGGAGGTTTGTCGAGAAGTGTCTTAGTTCAACTGTCTTGTCTTGCTTTCGCTCTTTCAAAAGAGCCTTGAATTGTTCGAGTTCCATCATCAGATTTTGAGATTTTTGAAGTAAATCTTTCACTGATCTCTCCGAGTTGGGCTCAGGATCTAACAATCTCAAAGCGTCCATACTTTCGGCGATATTCTTGCCATTCAACGTAGCCATGGTGGTAAGATCCTCCGTGAAGAGGTGCTTACAGACGAAGGCAATTTCTAAAGAGCGTCACGTGCACTGGTTTCATGAAGCCATAAAAGTAAGAGGCGTATGATACAACGAGGTGGACTCAACGGTCTGAGTTTCCTTGTCAAAAGATATGTATTGCAGTGGAGTAGTATATTTATGCATGTTCAACCGGTGAATGACTCTTCTCAAAAGAGATTGTCAAGACCAACCGGTTAAGTATCGGGTAAATTATCCTCATAGCCTCGCTCTAGCCTTACCAAATCTCCAAAAAGTCCGTCATCAAATCTACAAAAATTACAACCACAATTTCTACAATAACAAAATCCACCAATACTTTTCGAATTTCCCTTCCCCATCCCAGAGAAGTATATTACAACGCCACAGTAGATCCAATTTCAATTTTACTCTTCAAAAATAAAATCGCGATGCCCTCCGACGACTTGACGAAATGGATAACCTCCGAAGTCGACTTTTACACGCTCCTAGGCATCACTCCCGAATCTTTCAGTGTCTCAGAACTCCGTCGCGCATATCGTAAAACGGCCTTGCTCTACCATCCGGACAAACTAGGAGATGCCTTCGACCCAGATAAATACGAACAATTCCAAGCCGCGCATGATGTACTTGCAGAGCCAGAATTAAAACAAAAGTATGACAACTATCGCAATGCGCGCGTGCAGAAACAAAAGGCTGCTGCGTTATTTGAGGGCAAGAGAAGGAGTATGAAAGAGGATTTGGAGGCGAGGGAACGAGGGGGAAGCCTGGGGAAGAGAAGTAGAGAGGATGAGGAGATGGATGCGGAAATCAAAAGGCTGGCTGAGGAGGGCAGGAAGAGGAGAGCGAAGAGGCAAAGTATGCCTGTGCAGAGGGAAAATACGCCTCCGCAGAAGGAGAGTATACCCAAAGAATCAGACGATGATAAAATAGCACGCCTTGAACAACAAATCGCCGCCGCGAAAGCAAAGCGTAAAGCCGAGAAAAAAGTTAAATGTTCGACGCCAAATAAGACATTTAATGATAAGAAATCCGGCGATTTTGAGTATTCGACTCCACAACCGAAATTCAGAAACTCCAAGTCGACATCTACTCCATCTACAGCTCCACCTAAATATTCCTTTTCGTCCGTTGGGTCAAAAAAGGTGGGAAATGATTTCGCGTCTACCATGGAGATGTTAAGAGAAGCGGGGAAGAGGGGAGTGGAGGGGCCCAAATCAGATATGCAGTCCGCTCTGGACACTTAATCGACTTCAAACATTCTACGGCGTTCAGATATTTAACGGCGTTCAGACATCGCAAGGCGGAGAATTTTCTTTTTGAATTTAGCATGGCGTTGAGGATAATTATATAGTAATGTTAATAAAGTAATGCTTATAATACATCTACGTCTCAATCCAAGCGGGAGGGAAAGCTCTGACCCTAATATTCCTCGTATCTCCCTCTTCCTCATTCTTCGCCTCTACCACAAACTCCTCCCCGGCATCCCCCTCCTTCCCACCTCCCTCCATCATCCACTTACCCATCTCATCCAACCTTGCCAATCCCAAACCTACGTTTCCCACTCCACTCAACCATTTCCCTACCGGTCTCTTTCCACCCACCTTCTTGATATTTTCACTCCCTCTCAAATAACCTGCCAAATTGCCTCCTTTGTACTCCAGTTCTCCTATTCCAGGCAAGGCTTCTCCTTCGGGAACCAACATCATAGGTATAATCCTCTTTCTTATCACACCTGTATGATGCGTCCTAATCGTCAATTCCTGACCGACATAACATCCCTTCCCATAATCAATACCTCCCATAACATCCACATTGCTTTCTTGCGGTAGCGCACTCTCCCTCAATATCTCATCCTGGCCTTCGGGGACTCCAATCAGATATCTCCGAACTCTGTATATTTCCTCCTCTTGTATCTTCACTTCCTCATCTATACCCTCCAAATCCCGTTGTAAATCCCATCCCTTATCCGCCACAATTCTCTTTCCCATCTCGGGTGCCCGATGATCCGCGACCATAATACCAGTGCCCTCTCTCATTTTAACCCCCTCTTCAACTCCCCAACAACTATAAATCCCCATCTCTTCCTCGCTCACAACTTCAACCTCAAACTTCGCACGCATCCTATACCTCTTGATATGTTTCGCCAATACCTCCACTTCCTTTGCATCAACTTCAATCAGCCAATTTTCTCCTTCTTTTCCCGTTTCCCCATATTTCCCTCGGTCCGCATACAGATCCTTATAGATCCAAACATCATTTAATACCCTTCCCTTCGCATTCAAAAACGCAGAATAGAACCCCTTCTTATCCGAATTTAACCCCTCTTTATAAATATCATTCGTGATGACTCCCTGCAGGTATTTCATCGAGTCTGGTCCTCTCAAGGATATAAGTCTACGAGTCGAGAGACGCGTGACGCCTTTTCTGGCTAATTTATGGAAACTAGATTGGGCTTGGGATTGTGGTTGTGTTGAACTTTTAGTTGAAGCGGGAAGGGAGCTTGCAGATGAGGTAGGAGTAGAAGAGTATTTGCGAGTCCTCGGTATCGCACGGGCGGAGCAGAAGGTACATATATATGATGTTGCAGGAACAGTAATTGTTCTTTTAGACATGAGTTTTGATATCGGTTTCATGATGAATTTCTGTGGGATTGTGTTTTCAAATTATTGAGGTATAGCTTGGAGTTTGGCAATAATGTAATGAAGCTTCAATTCTCGTTGATGTTGATGACGTAATAACGAGTTATCTATACGCTGTTGGTGATTGGCTGAAACTTACAGCATTATTATATCTGGTGAGGTGAGGGGCAATTACTCGCATAATCAATGTCACTATATTACAGCCAAACGTTACAGTTACAGTGAACACGTTCAATCACTTCATATTCACATATTCAGGTAAAATGTAGAAACTAATTATGATTTTACTAATAAAGCAAGCAACCACATAGCTTTGGCAAATCTGGGTATTTGGATATCACCGAACGAATGCTCCGAATGCTACCAAATCCAAACTCCCATTGAAATGCCAAAACCATGCAAAACAAAAGGAAAAAAAAATGATACAACCTTAAATGACCTCCTTCAATAACCCTACTAGCAACTGCGTCTAAGTAATTCAATAAGAAGCCTTTGTCGGCTGGAGATATTGGTGCTTGGCTTCCACGGCGTGACGAGCCCTCGCCGTTTCCTGATGCCAGACTTCCAACTCTAGATCTGGATGCAGCACTTCTCGTGGCATCTATGAGATGGTTAGAAGAAGGTCCATCATGCGAAGATGTTCTAGACATTGAACTAGAAGCTGCCATTGGTGATTTCCCGAATACCGAACTGGCAGCGGGGGTAGGAGATTTCCCGAACAATGACAAAAGAGCATGCTTTTGTTCGGTTGACTGGGGAGCTTGGGAGGTAAAGGATAGTGGAGATGTCGATGGGCCGGCCAGATTAGATGGTGCAAGGTTCGGCGAATAAGCAGCAATGGTGGAAGCTCCAAGAAGTGGGGAAGCTTTGACTGTATTCGCTTGTGGCCTTTTGAGGATTTGTGGTTGAAATGATTTCTCTGATGAAGACCCCTTGCTACTGTTGGGCATCTCCGATCTAGTGGCCGGTTTCTTGGACAAACTCCCATATGATTTAGTATCTTTATTCCCATTGGCTGGACGAGCGAGGATTGAAGTGGCTCGAAATGGAAGGTTTAATTCAGGGTTCATTTCTGGAATCTCGTGACTAGCTCTGCCAATTGGAGTATTTTCTTTGGTAGCTGCTTGTCGAAGAACTTCGGGTGGCGAAACAACTTCTACTGCGCTCAATTCCACCGCTGAAGGCGATTTGGATGGTAGAACTGCAGCAGCTGGTGCCGCAGCCAGCGTTGCCGGTTGAGCTGCAGGACTTTTGAACATACCCAATAACATTGATCGTTGGTTTTCACTGACGGGGGGACGAGCTGTTTGACTCTGACTAGCCGTACTAGGAATACCTCCTTTTATACTGGGATGAGACTTTGATGATTGAGCTGCCTCTGTAGGAATAGGAACAGGAATAGAGCGAGAACTTTCTCCTGGAAGCTCAAGAGCTTCAGGCAGCGTAGTATTCGGGTGCGGCTGAGTCGGGCCTTCAGAAATCAAAGAGTTGGAAGTGATATTTACATTTACTTCGTCGCGAGTCTTGAACGCGTTTAAAAGTAACAATGAATGACTAGTGAGTGCAGCAGCAGCCGGTGCCTCCTTTGGCTGCGGCAGAACCATGGTAGAATGTACATTGGGAAATTGAGGAGGAGGCATAGGGCCAGAAGTCGTAAAATTGGGATGTGGAGGTTGCTGCTGAATATGCTGTGGCACTATTGTTGAATGTACCGGACCTCCGGTAAACAACACTTTCTGGGCATTGGGAGGGAGTGGCTGAGGATGAATCAAAGTGGGTTGATATGGATGACGTTCTCGCTGCTGTGGAAGTTGTGGTTGCATATGCTGCGGGATCTGCTGAGACATATGTTGCGAAGCTTGCTGTAACATGTGCTGTGGCGGTTGCTGGGAGATCTGCGCTGAGAATTGATGTGACATTTGAGGTGGCATTTGAGCTGGCATTTGAGCTGGCATTCGTTGCCGGATTTGCTGTGGTATCTGCTGCGGCATCTGATGGCGATATTGCATATTGGGAATAGATCTTTGATCGGAACGAACTTGGGGATCGGGTTGCTGGAAGGAATAATTCTGCATTGGACGTTGCTCTTGCTGTTGTTGTAGTGGGAAAGTAGGTGGAGGTGGTTGATTTGAGATGTGTGAAGGATGAGGTACCTGATGATGAGGAGTTTTAGGAAATGGTATTTGAGTAAAAGTATTTTCTAAAGGTGTTTGCGGATATGGTTGAGTTGGCGGTGGTTGATCCGCAGGAGGTTTACTATGTAAAAGAGCAAGCAATTGCTGCCCTGAGCTATGCGAAGCTTGTGATTGAGTAGGGTTAATGGCATTGGGTTGTAGTCCCTGAGTCGATGGTTGGACTTGCATTATAGCAGAAAGAGCTAGGTCGGCAGCATTGCGTCTAGTCCGTTCAGCATCATGCGACACAGGTGCATTATAATTCATGCTTGCTTCAACCAGTTGATCATCCTCAGTGATACCTTCATCGTGGCTGATATTTCCTGCTGCCTCCAAGTGCTGGTTATTAGCTGCCGTCCTTGCATCCTTTTTCTTTTGATCTAAAATCCACTTCTTAAGTGGAGGTAGGAATGGTGCCACCATGTAGAATTTGTTGGCATTGGCGGCAGCCTCTGGTTGATTTTGTTGCTGCCCTTTCTTTCGATAAGCTGGAAGATCAGATAACCTCCACCAATCAATTTTACTAATTTCTTTACGAGTTTGTGCCTCAAAATAGGTTTCCCTGGGAACGTTTCTGAAAACGTATAATCTGATCTGTTGGCCATGTCCCGTAACATCGATGCCTTTAACTAGACTTCGATCTTTGGGAACAAGCCCTGACTGTTCAAGGTCATAACCAGTCTCTTCGTATGCTTCACGTATAGCACATGTAAGGTCGTCCTCATCTTTATTAATCTTTCCACGGGGAAAGCTCCAATTTGCACCCTTCTTCCAACCCTTTACAAGAACGACTTCATCCATATCCGCGCTCAACAGAATCACACCCCTCACTGGAACTCGGGTCTTGTATAGAAGAAACTCCTCAAAAGCTCGCATATGTATACTTTCTGAAAAGTTTGAAAGTAAAGGGCAATGTAAAAATATCTTGAGGCAAAAGTTGCGAAGGGTCATCGAAGGTAGGCTTGGGTCCAGAGGCCGGATAAAATCTTCGTAGTACCATTGCGCTTCTTCGACTTGAAAGCATATTCGAGGAACGTGTGATAGATCAGCCGCAGGAATATTGATTATGAATCGAACACAAAGGTCGTCCAGCCCTGGAGATTTGGTATCTGGTCAGTCAAAGTATTTGGAAATGAATACCAACATTGTTGAGGCTGTACTTGAGAACAAGGCGAGAGGGTTCTCGGAATGGGAAAGATAGGAAATGATAGAAGAATCTACTTGATAAGCTATCTTCAATACTTACAGTCTTCTAGCTGCAATTTTCTGTCTGTCATGTTGTCTTCGCGTCACAAGCATATCCACGACTCGAGTTTCTTTTCGGGGCGGGGGACGCGCAGAAACGCTTAGGCCAAAACAACCTAAAACCAAAATGATACAAATATGAAGACTTTGTGGCAAATACAAAGTAAATGGAATAATCTATCTGATAAGAAAGCTTGCGAATCTTATTCCAGTAGATACGGCAATCACAAACTAACGTGAGCTTACTACTGTTGTTGAAGGTAGTGAAATGTGGAGTTGTGAGTGGATGAGTTGGTTGTTGATATGGTTGGGGATAACTAATGAGGCTGAGTCAAGAGCTTGACTTCAAGCTTGAAACCCAAATAGGGAGCTGGAAAGCCACATTTTCATTTGTACCCAACGCCACATATCCTCAGCCACCATCACACGTGACTATGGCCACGATATCTGAAGATAGCTAGATCAAAACAGGTAAAGCTTGAACTCGACAAAATAAGGTTTACTCTTCACTCTTCACCGGTGGTCCCTCAGATCTGCAGTTCTAGGTGTCGGATGACGTTATTTTGATACAACAATACAGGGGCGCAGTCGAATCTTGGACAAAAAAGTTGCCAGCATGAAAGATAAATGCAAATCAAGCTTTATTGCAAGCTTGTAAGAAAGAGTTTATGGGTAAGTAATTTAAAGTGACAGTATTTCTCTTAAAGACATTTTCTATTTCTATTTACTATTCATTGAAATCCAAAGACATTCATATTCATGCGTCAAACTGGGACAATCCAAAAATAGTTGTTATCAAGCGCTTTCTGAAACGACTCATAATCGACAACCACCAACGAAACGAAGGACAAACAAAACTTACAGAAAACCCCTAATACAACGGATAAGACGTTTAACGGCTCTGGGTTTTGAAATAACTTCTTAAAGAGAAGAATATCCTTCTCGAAAATTAATCAATTCTGCATTATAGCCACACTTATCCACACAATACAATTATGGCTTCATTTGCAGCAAAATTCATCAGTAAAAAATTCCTGGGGGAATCAGTCTCAAACAAGTTCGGATCAGAGGTAAAATACCAGTTCACAAAACTTCCATCTCTCGAAGAAATAATTTACTGACAGCTTTTCAGGACTTGTACTTCGAAACTGTTCCTGCTTCTCGCTTGGATGGTGTGCCATCAAAAAAGAAGACACAAAAGAGAAGAAAAGCCATACCTGCTGGCATATCAGAAAAAGATGCAAAGATTCTTACCAAAGTCAAGCGCCGAGCTTATAGACTAGACATGAGTCTATTCAATTGTTGTGGAATTAGATTTGGATGGAGTAGTGTAATCGGTCTCGTTCCTGCGTAAGTTCTTTCCCTGCCCATGAAAAGCTTTACTGATTTAAAACAGCATTGGAGATGTTATTGATTTGTTCATGGCGCTTATGGTATTTCGAACATGCAGTCAGGTCGATGGCGGACTTCCAAACAGTGTCAGATCTAAAATGATGTTCAATATCGCGCTCGATTTTGCCGTTGGTCTCATACCATTCGCAGGAGATCTTGTCGATGCAGTTTTCCGCGCTAATACTAGAAATGCGCTCGAGCTTGAAAGACATTTGCGTGACAAAGGTGCGAAAATATTGAAGGCAAGAGGCGAAAGATTACCTGCCGTTGACGTTACCGATCCGCATGAATTCGATCTTTATGATCAGGAACTCTCAGATGAAGAACCTCCACGATATACATCCAGAGCAAACACGGAGACTGTCAGTCCTCGTGAGCCAGGTGGACGTAATCGTCACAGTTGGTTCGGATATGGCAGTAGCGCACCCGTAGAGCGAACAACACAACCTGATCCCGAACAAGGACGTCGTGTCAAGAGATCAGAGCGAACAAGACAACCTGATGTCGATCAGAGTCGACGCGATAGAACAGACGCGCAAGACCCTCCACTTCCAGCTCGCCCTCAGAAGGTTAGGAAGAGTGGTAGACGTTAGAGAAATTGTGATTGCTATTTTGAGTTTGAAGGATGTTCTAGGAACGTTCCATATTTGAAGGGTTCCGGAAAGGTTCTAGGATGGATCGATTTTTTAATGCCGACACGATTCCCTTTGTTTGTTCAGTAATTGATGACGCCTTGGTTTGTAAGTAACAAGAAAACAGATTTGGTTTAGGCGCGGGGCTTTAGATGTAATATAAGATACCATACCATAGATGCAAATTAATGAAAGTGGAATTCCATTCAATCTGGTAAACATCTTAATCTCCACATCGTATTCCATTGAAGCCTATTCAAATCCAGATGTACTGATTTCTGAATCATCATGACTGATTTTACTCCACCCATTATCAAGACTTTCACCAATACTTCACGCGTTACCGTGGTTTCCTATTGATCTTCAGGGATTAAGATCTGATAAGTTTGCTTGGCATTAGGTGGAACTCAGTTGAATGAGCTGAATGGTTGATTATGTGGAATAAGTGGTTCAGTGATCAATGTACATTGCGTTGCAAATTTCCCAGCCTTTTTTTCGACGCGAACGCGAAACTTAGCGCGTTAATTATTTAGACACGTGACGCGTACCGAAAAGCTCTTAAGAACGCGGTTTCTCTTGTTCATCCTCGGACTCATTCACACATACACATACATACTTTCTATTCAATACAACATATAAAGTCAAACAACTTCTCGACCTCTTTCTTCTTTACATATTCTACCTACCAATAATCAAAGCCTTCTTTACGTTCAATTTATTAAATCACAATGAGTCTCCAAGAAACTCCCTCAAAGACTGTACGTTTTCACGCGCCACCCCTCCATCCGTTGTTTCCCCTCAATTCATTTATTTTACGCGTCAACATTATACTGACTCGAAACTTGTACAGGCTGCCTCTGGCATCGAAAACATGAAGATGGAATCACCTGTCAAGAAGATTAACTTTGCCGGAAAAGAGAACTCAGCATTTGATGCTGACGCGCCAATTGTCGAAGAAGTTAAGAAGCCAATTGTCGAAGAACAAAAGATTGTTGCAGTTGCTCCAGGAATCAAGCCAGAAGAAGCAGATGAGCCTCTTCTCCAAGAAAACCCAAACCGTTTCGTCCTCTTCCCCATTAAGTACCATGAGGTAAGTCGCGTCTATCTCTTCACGTGTCAACGCGTACAGTGCTAACATATCATTGCGAACAGATCTGGCAAATGTACAAGAAGGCAGAGGCATCTTTCTGGACCGCAGAAGAGATTGATTTATCAAAGGATCTTCACGACTGGAATGAGAGACTCAATGACGACGAGCGTTACTTCATTTCCCACGTCCTCGCATTCTTCGCAGCATCCGATGGAATTGTCAACGAGAACTTGGTCGAGAGATTCAGTGGTGAAGTTCAAATCCCAGAGGCTAGATGCTTCTACGGTTTCCAAATCATGATGGAGAACATCCACTCCGAAACATACTCCCTTCTCATCGACACATATATCAAGGAGCAATCCCAAAAGACATATCTTTTCAATGCTATTGAGACCAGTAAGTTACAGCCGTTACCACTTCACATGTGGTATTTCATCTAACATACTCGATAGTTCCTTGTATTAAGAAGAAGGCCGACTGGGCTGTCAAGTGGATTCAAGACAAGAATTCCACCTTTGCTCAACGTCTCGTCGCTTTCGCTGCTGTTGAGGGTATCTTCTTCTCTGGATCTTTCGCTTCCATCTTCTGGCTCAAGAAGCGAGGTCTCATGGCCGGTCTCACCTTCTCTAACGAACTTATCTCCCGTGATGAAGGTCTTCACACCGATTTCGCATGCCTCCTTTTCTCCCATCTCAAGCACCGCCCATCTAAGCAAGCCGTCCAAGACGTCATCACCGAAGCTGTCGAGATTGAACAAGAGTTCTTGACCGAGGCTCTTCCTTGTGCTCTCTTGGGAATGAACTCCAACCTCATGAAGCAATACATCGAGTTCGTTGCTGATCGTCTTCTCCTTTCTTTGGGTAACGATAAGTACTACAAATCTGCCAACCCATTCGACTTCATGGAGAACATCTCCTTGGCAGGAAAGACCAACTTCTTCGAGAAGAGAGTTGGAGATTACCAAAAGGCTGGTGTCATGGCCGGTACTCAAAAGAAACACGAGGATACTGAGGCACAAACTGAGGCCAAGGCAGAGAACGGCGGTGACTTCAACTTTGACGAAGACTTCTAGATATTGTCTTCAAAGTTACCTCTATTTTTCTTTATCTTTTTATGTCAAGATGATTGGCTTCGCGTTTAACTTTGTACAACTCTTCACTTCTACACGGGGCCTGCATACATAGATGTGTTGCGGGTTGGTGGTTTGTACAAATAGTTCTTTATCATGAAGGAGTTGTGGTGTTGGGAAAACTTTGGGTTGGCGGCGGGCATGAATATGAATTTTTACAACAAATGTCATTTGGACATAGATGAGGGATCGATCGGGATATTATGGTGGGAGTATACCATGATGGGATGGATGGATAGGATAATTGATGATATAACTAGTTAGCGTTAACGAATACAATTTTTTCCCTCACATGAGGATCTCATTTGCGCTTGCTGCGATTGAACTGTGATTGATTCTCACCGGCTTTGCATCTGACTGGCTCTTGTTTGAATTTCCTGGATAGCTTTTGGAATATCTTGAGATATATCGAAAAGAGGCGCATGTATATCTTCTATGACCATAACTCCACTGCCATCCTAGCCATGCAAACTTCCATAGTATACCTACTGTCCGCACTAGCACAACTAAATCCATATTATATACAGGTTTCCACCTCGAACCTCTAAAGTTCACCAAAGAGCAAGGAAGGATCCATTGACGATATGGTGATAACTGTTGTGACGCAATGCATAGATTTTATCTCTGTCGAGAAGGTGCAAAAGGAATGCGCAGACCTTTTGCTGAATCCGCCAATTACACATCAATCTTGTGCCTCTTCCTCTTCTCCCTCACTCCCCCCTGAACGATGTGATCCCTCAGTCAACAATTCATTTCTTCCCCTTCTTCTTCTTTCCCTTTCCACCTTGTGGTTGCGTCTGTGTTTGCGCTTGACCCTTTCCAGCATCCTTCTTCTCATCCACTTCCTCCTCTGCCGGCGCCTCAGCCATATTAATCTCCCCCAACCCCTCTTTCTCCTCCGTCTCGGGTAATCCGCACATGAGCTTTCCGAGTCGTCCCATAATTTGTATGAGGCGCGATACTTCTGCAGCTTTGTTGGTGGTGTATTTGAGGTTTACGCCGGAGTGGGGGTTGAAGGTTGTGAGGGTGAGGGTACCGCGGGGTTGAGATTCTGGTTTTGCGGAGGTGGAGGGTTGGGGGGTGGAGGTCGGTTTGGGTAGGCGTGGTTTGGTGGCTGTGGAGTGTGTGGTGGAGGGAGCATGGGGGATGAAGGTGCGTGCAGAAGGGTGTACTTGGTTGTTATGCGGGTCTGCAAGAGAAGGAGAGGGTTAGCTTAGTTGCTTTGATTGGGAGGGGGAGAGTTGCAAGAAAGAGGGGGGACACGTACGGTACTAGGATGTGCTTTCAACAACAGCGAAGATTGTGTGAGCCATTCTTGGGCAGTATCTAAATGTGGCATTTTGTTTTTTCTTTGCGGTCGATGGACGCTGAGATCGAATGTATGTATTTGTGGTTGATTCAATAATTGGTTGGTGGATGATGAACCTTGGTGGATTGGCGCAAGTTGAGACAAAGTCGTAGGAGCTTGAAATTGATGAGCGAATCTTAATTGATCAGATGTTAAGTTCAGTTCAGGTGTTCCTTAGCGTGAATGCGGGGTCAAGCGAGGATGTGAGGCTCTGCGGGCCGGAGATTTACCGATGGCATTCTCAAATTTGGTGTGTATGTTTTATGAGACTTCACTCGAGGGAATCTGGGGTTTAGAGAAAAGATATTACACTGGTATTTCTAAGTGGAAATATTAGGTATCTGGGGAGACGCATGGAGTAATGCAATCTTCATGTTATGCCAAAACTTCAAATCGGAAGTTCAATTGCTTGATAAAGTCATCATTGGGGCATAGGCAAGCACCCAGGTAGCTCCTATAAAGATCTTCTAGTAGATCTCGGGGTAGATTATTCTGTAGTTTTAGGGTCAAGATACATCCTTATCTGTACAGAAGACCTCTAGAAGCCGTCTCAATGTGCACACTTTTATTGCATGCAGAAACTTTTCATTGCTGAACACTCAGTCAAAAAGACAATAGATAATAAATAAAGTAAAATAACGAAACATGATACCAATTTCGATGTATCTTATTACGGACTAAGTGCTGGGTTCACCTTCTCAAATTTTCATCCACAAAAGTCACGGGGCAGCTCCTTCCTGTTTGAGGACAAAATGCTCTTTCCCAAAATGACCAAGGCAGTGAAAGCATCTTGATGTCGCACTTTTCATCTTGCACCATCACTCCTATAGACATGCATTGTATCTTCTCTGTTTTTCTGTTCATGTTCTCCTCTTTTGCAAATACTTTTTAGAAACACACATAGTACAGCGTTAGGCGGACCGTTCTCCTGTTCACACTGCAAAATCGTCACTTACTTATCTTCATTTATTTTATGAACTTAACCTCTCTTCATCACTTTCAACTGTTATAGACATGCCTACAGCAAAGAAAGCAAAAGTTTCGAAGTTGAATGGTGAGGAGAAGCCAAAATTTGACGTTCCAAAAGGCAACAAATCGGCGCAGGAAACACCGGATGCCAGTTCTGCCATTGAACCTAATGCACAAATAGAAGTGTCTTCCGCACTTCCTGAGGTGCATCAACTCCTTCAAAGCTTTTCCGAAGAACAAATCGCACTGGTGTTATCAATCTTGAAAGCAAAGCCAGATGGAATATCAGTGAAAGGTACGACCAACAACTTTCCATCATAGATTATACTAAATCAGCTTAGATTATTTGAATGAGTTCCGAGAATCGATCATACTCGAAGAATCACGAAGTAATCGCATGGTAGATTCAGGAGAGTATTGGAAACGGCAGTTCGAAAGCCAATGTATTCGTACACATGAACTTCAGACTCGCGTCAGAAGTCTACAGAAGAGCCTACAACGCTGTCGTATGTCATCTATAAGATCTGAAGATTCTGAAGAAGAGGAAATCCCGAGTATCGCCCGGCGCTTCTCTGAGTCTCATAAGGACCAACCTTTGGAACCCGGCAAAAAGAAGAAAAGAAGAAGAAATGAAAGTCTAGATACTATCCCGAATGAAGACGATGAAATAGGAACCGATATATTGGGACATAATCATGATCATATGATGGTTGCTACTTATCGTAAGTCACAATACTTTCTCCTCTTGCTTTGTTGTGTCAAGTCGTCTAGTTACTTACACAAATTCCTGCAGTATATGAAATCAATAAATTTCGTCGATCTCTTCACGCTGAATCAGCGATCACCTCGTGCCGTGAGCTGATAGTATTGAGTTGGAAGGCAATCTCCGACTGCATTCCCAAATATATCAATGTCAGAGGAACAAATTACCATACAAAAGACATCAAATGCCTAGCGCATCTTATGAGCGAGATTGTTGAGTGCCAGAAGAGCTGCGTTGGGGTTTCAACTGAGCATTACAAAACTATCGCGGGAAGAGAGTTGGTGAGGAAATCGAATATTACATATTTCATGTGCTCTTTCTTCGATAAAGCTTTGAACGAGATGCACAGGCTGTGCATTACGAAAGCCAAACTTCCAATTCGTTCAGACAATTCGGCATCAGACCGCGTCGAAGTTTCTGCGGATAACAATGAACCCTTGATGATACGATTTTTAGCCAACCTTTTAATCAGCATTCTTCGAAACATCAGTTGGCAACAGAAGAATGACCTGCATAAACAGACATTTGAAGGCATGCTCGCAATCATACTCGATCACACCGGTAAAATGCTTTCCGAAATCATATTCAAGGAAGACGTTGCCAGTTCCAGATTACCGGGAAACGTTAGTTCTGGAGAACCCTTCCTTCGTCTATCTCCAAACGAGTCTACATTAAAGTCCAAATACCTTATTTACATACTTGAGATGGCACTCAAAATCCAAAAGGAAAATATGGGTACTGGACCAACAGAAGAACTTCTAAAGGTAGCCAAAAAAAAAATCCAGAATACACTTAAGAATAGTATAATTGGAGGAAACTTATCGGGGTTGAAGGTGCCGGACCAAATTGTGGAGGAACCAGTTGATATTCCGGAATTGGAAGGATTAGAGATGTATGGGGAAGAGTGGACCATACAATGTGTGTTTACGATGATCGAAATGGATGAAGATGAGGATAGTGAGGAGGTAGGAGGTAGTGGGGAGGCAGTTGTGGGTTGAGATGGTGCAGGGTGAGATCTTGAAGTCGGGAGCTGGATTTGCTGAGATTTAGATGAATAAATTGTGGAGACTGGGATTGGTAATATAGGAGAAAATCTAAATAACAAGAGCTGGATTTAGAAATGGATGTTCGGATTGCGTGTTTGTGCTGGGCTATATATAGGTTGAGTCTAAGATATCACACAGAGACTTGTGAATTATATCTTGCTAATACTGTGGAACATTTGGGGGGATAATCTAGTTCATGATAGTTTGGCGAATCATTCGAGAAAATTCTGAATAGATTTGAATGAACATGATGTAGTGCTGTGCTGTGATATCGTTGTGTGCAATGTACGAATGAACATGTATTGCATCGATTGAGTCATAAATGATAGATAAATAAAAACCATATGCATATTTATCTGATGAATGAGCTAGAAAAAATCTCCCCGAAACCCAACCTACTCGCCAGCACTCCCGAGCTCATCTAGACCCCATTACGTAGCGCAGCGCAAACCCCATCCAATCCAACCATAACCTATCCAGTCCAGTCCATTGCATTGCCGTGTATTGATTGTCCTTCCCAGTATTGCATTTCCCCTTGCAATCCGAAAGCTCCTAGAATTCGTCGATGCGTGTCATATCATATCATATTACGCAATAAACAAGATTCGTTCCGGTCCGATCCATCCTATCCATCCATGTCCCTACCCATTCTGGTATACCCCAGCCCAATCCATGTCCGTTGTATCCTAACTCCTCAAAAGAAACGCCTCAATTCCCAGTCCACCCAGCTCTCTTAGCAGCATCTCTAGCTTCTTTCTTTGCTATCCTGGCAGCTTGTCTAGCTTCTTTCTTTGCAACTTTCTCCTCCTTTCTCAAGGCCATTTTCTCCTTCCACGACTGAATTCTTGTCTTCTCTGGCTTCTGCGCAAGTTTAGCTTCAAGCTTTTGTGTCACTGCAGCTTTCTTACTCATAGCCACTGCAGCTTTACGTTCATATTCCTCTGCCTCTGCACTCTTTCCTTGCATCTTCAACCACAGAGACTTAGATCTGATTTGTGCCTTTAGAATTCCCTCATCTAATGGGTTTCCCATGTTTTGTAAAGAGTGCAATTGATCCGCAATAGTCTTCTCCACACCTGCAAATTGCGAACCAAGTTCAACTGTAATGCGAGCACTGCGTTTGGCGGCCTCAAGAGTCATATCTCTAGCTGCATTGGTAAGCTGAGCAGTGATTGATGACGCTCGCTCGAGAGCTTGACGTTTGGCTTCGTCGATATTGGCTAGTTTCGACTGGGAAGATTGGCGTACATCTTTGAGAACCTTCTCAGCCGCGGCGCGAACATCTGCAAGAGTTTGACCATCGGCGATAACAGTGTCCTCCTTGAAGAATGTGTAAAATCTGTCCAAAACTTCTTGCATGGCTTGAAGAGAATTGGTTCCAAAATCGACTTGGAAGGTCTCGCTGATGCGTGGCTTCTTGGTGGTAATAATCGAAATGTTGAGAATTCCATGAGCCTCCTTCTTGGGAATTAATAATACAATCCCATCGCTTGAACTAAAGGCACGCTCCGTATCGACTGTAGTATTACCCCTAGTGATGTTGATCGACATTGCCAATTTGGTGAGCCAGTTAAGCTTCATTGCCCGGGGAATTCGAATCAAAACTTCTCTGTCCCCCATGATTTCCGCCACACAGGAACTACACTTGCTTTCTGATTTGGACTTCTGTTGTTGGGCATGTGTAAGTTTCGAAAAGTCTACTTGAGGTTTTGAAAGTCCGTTCGGGGGCGACGACTGTACAACGGAAGGTGTTGAAGTAATGGTGGCTTGGGTTGCAGAAAGATTCGTCGCAAATGGTACTGATGTTGGAGTTATCGGGCCCGCTGACATGGTTTTGCTGTTGATAGAGATTGCCGGTTGGTTATAAAATGGGTAGGGCGAAAGGCTGGACGTGAAAATGGCAGTTAGTACGCTCAGGACGAGCAAGCCAAATGGAAGTAAAGATCTCCACTCCGCTAAGTAACGGGACCATTCTTTATTGACGGGTTTCTCTCGATTCGCAGGGATTGTATAGGAACCGAGATTCTTAATCACATTAGAGGAACTTGCAGGCTCGTGAAGACCGGTCAAGTAGGCAAGATTTCTGTTCATCTGCCTAGCATCGATGTTCAAGAAAGACGTAAGATCTATTGGTAAACGTTGATGGATGATGCTTCCTCTGCCATTTGTCTCCCGGGATTCTAAGCACATATGAATAGAATGTTGATCTAAAGACATACACGGAGCTTTGTTCAGTAATTGCTTGTGTGAAATAACAATCGATGGTATGGTATGACGACTCATGAACTTTCTGGCAATGGTTCTTGTGCGTCGTGCTTGTACATCGTCACTATCAGAACAGTAGAATATTGCCACATGTGGTAACTCCCATTCTGGCTCAACAATAAAGTGATCTCTCTCTGGGACCGAATGGTAGCTGTAGTGATCCTCGAGATTTAACTTTATGACATCTGGCTTTTGTGGTTGATCCTCGAATTCAAGGGTTTGAGCAGACAAACAATCATCAACCTTAATCTGGTAACCAGACGAGTGCATGAGTTCGATTTCCGGCGTCTTCTCGGAGCCAAAAGCAGATACAGGCACAACATTGTATATTTGAGATGAGTTTCGACTTGAACGCTCCTGGCCTTCGACAGAAGCAGTGACAGAGCTTGCGATCTTGTGTATGATATCTTGTTTTGCAGAGTGGCTGCCTACATAGAGGATGCGGAGTGGGTCTTTAGTCGATAAACCATGCTTGGTCATCGTTTGTCGAATTGTCAGAATTAATTGACTTGGTGGATTTTGCATGCTCAAATCTCTCACGGAAGCGGCAGTTTGTTCTTCGGTGAACTCTGCCACTGTATGTTTGACTGATACATTCTCGGCTCCAAGGCTACCAAATGGTTCTTCAAATTCGATGGATTGTGAGAGCGGGGTATCGGAATCGTCATGCAAGACAGCAGAATTTCGACCGATGGTAGGATTATTGAAAGAGTTATTGATCGAGTTATCCAAACCAAAAGCGGGGATGGAGGAATTGTGTGTGTATTGATCCCCACTTTCATCACTATTCTCAGTATCTGCAAGGCTCTGCATATCGTCAGGACGACCAAATTCCACTGAAGCTATCGACTCGGTGGCGTTCTCATCATGGCTCTCATCATCTGTATCGACAAACTCATAAGTAGATTCGGAGAGGTGACTTTCATCAGATGGGGACTCGCTGAGGGTCGACATGTTGTTGTTAGAAGTTTGGGTTTCGACCCAAGTAGTTATTCTCGTATCGATGGACGGAGTAGGAAATCGAAAATCGTTGGAATGCTCTTCAGGATTTGGAGATGTCAAATCTAGAGGCGGGAGTCCGCTGGATGACTCCATGTCATTAGCTTTTACGATATTATACCGGAACACAAATCTCGAGCAAATGGTATGTGAAAGAAGTGAAATGTGAATGAACGTGAGGGAGGTCGAGTGAGTAGCTTTCAAGGACACGGGTAAATAACAAAGTCGACACGAAGAAGAGGAAGCGGACGAGGAAGAAAGAAAGAAAGAAAGAGGGAAGGTCCTACTTCTTATTAATCTGACCTTGATTAAGGTAGAGGATCCCCGAATTTAAATTTCTATGGAGAAAGTACACCGAGTGCCGTAGAATAATAATGGGGAGCAAGAAAGTGGGAGGAGTTAATTAACTTAGTACTTGCCGAATCGTTTGCCTATTGGCAAATCGAGGTAGCCCGGGCTTTTGGTTGACCGTAGAGATAGGCAAGGTGATAAGTTTACCTTTGGAATACTGAAATACTGTCAATATGGTATCAAGAATATTGTATGGTGGGAAAATTCATGAAGAATCTCGTGTTGCACCTCGTACCAAATACGCAAGATGTCTTTCTGAAGGAGTCTCTCTTTTTTGCTGTAATGGTTGTTGTGTTTGAAATACAAGACGCAGGCGGCAGGTTTATCTCGTTATGATGGATTTTGGACTGATTAGGTGAGACCCACTAGTGTCAATGCGGGGTACCCTTATATCCTTATTCCAGCTTTACATACTTCCGTACCTATATGTGTGCTAGGCATGTACGGCATGGCATGTGTGATATGTGCCCAAGCGTTTTGGGTGGTTATCGTAAACTGGGTTACGATAAGCAGAATTTAGGAGGTAAATCGTAAATCCGTATAATACAAACATGTCAACGGCATAGAGTGAAGTATTATATGAGAATCATATTTATTCATCATGTTGTCTCTCTATGAACCATCTATCCTTCCTGACCTCACTTCACATCCATTTGTGCGGCTACAATATGTTACATTACCCATCACATCACATCACGTCACATCACAAACACACGTCATCTAGCCTAGCTGGAGATGCTATCTAGGTATCGATATTCTATTCACATCCACTCTTGATGCATCAAAATCTCACCTACATGATAGAAGGGGGGAAGGATAATGAGAGCATCGATGGTCATAGAGACATAAAACACCTACCTACTGCACACGTATGTATCAAAAGAGACCAGCACTACCTGTACCTAAACACCTACTCGTCGATACGTTTACTCTACCACAACGTCAGCACAAGTAAATCTTCCAAGATTCCCTCTTTCCCAACTACCCTCCTTCCGCTACCCACCCTCCTCGAGCCAGTCATCCTCAACTACAACCTGCTAGCCTCCTACATATCAGTGGGTCCTGTGGAACATACATGAACTCACATTCATCATCTGATTCATATTCCAACCCCTAATAGTGATTGATCCATAGATTACGCATCTATCGCCCTCTAAGGATATCAAGAATATATTAATTTCTTATCGTGCGAACTTGCGAGCGTGACTTCAGACCAATACCTATCAACCTCAACTCAAGAAATCATCTCTCCAGGACCTTCCTTTTGGGGTATTCAATAGTACTCCTAGTATCTCCAAAATCTCCAAAATCTCCATCTATAAACAAAAGTTCAGTAGTATCCATCGTTGCTAGCTATTCCTTCCATCACACAAACTTCTCTCCTTCCTTCTACCTCTCCCCAGATAATTATCAGATCCTCAGGTTGCATACAATCATTCATTCGCAAGACCCCTTCCCTCCTTCTACCCCACTATGCATCAGCCCCACCATAATCTATTCTATTCTTAAATGATTTTCGCTGCACGGACCCAAGTCTGAACTTACCTAGGGGTAGGTATTAGCATTATTTCCAAAAATGTATTAGAGAAAATCATAATCTACTTCATCGCTAACATCATCGCAATTGAGTGAATAGAAATTCACAAGACCTACGAAAAGCCGGCCATGCTCCCTCCTCTCTCTCTCCTCTCGAGTCAATCAAATATATGACATCAAGAATGATCACCAAGCTGGCTTCAGTCTGAGCTTTGAGGAGGATATGGATAAGTTTCCTGTGTAGGTATGTTGCCATGGGATTATATCATCCGTTGTGTGGACGACATACTTTGATGTTTGGTAGGTTCCCTGATTGATCCGAGCTCTATGGTAAATGGAAGCTACCTCCTCCGATGATGGCTGTGGAAAGATTGGCGGCTGGATGCTGTCATTATGAATTCCACTTCTCATCTCTTGCTTCCAAATAAATGGGTAGAGATTGACTTGCCCGATTCATATGCACTGGGTCTGATCTGACCTTGCAATTCTTCAAGAACTCCACTATGAATGTTGAGCATAATTATGCCAGTGGCAAACATCGGGGCGCTGGTGTACACGTTTTTGAGTAATTGCTTAGGGGCTTGCTACCAAAGATCAATCACACAGGATCCTCACTCCCATTGTAACATTCTGCTTACTCCGAGCCTGTCATTTTCAAAGATTGTGCTTCGAGGCATGACTTGGAAGCGGGAATCAAAGCTGCGTGTGTATTGCCATGGAAGAAGTCGTATCCACTTTTTCGATGTTCTTAAGAATCCCCCAGGCGGTTGATCATTACGAGGCTTGCATCTTTCAGGATTCCATATTTCTGTATCATCACTCTTTCATGTACACGATTTTACAAATTCTTCTCGAGTGTTTGGCCTAGACCGATAAAAGCTCGCGAACAGCCTAATGTCTCGAAGACCTCAACCATATAAGTAGTTATGGAATGGGATTTCCGTGGATAAATTTGAGAATGAACCCCAGTTTGCTTTGACGAACTTGCACACCGCGCACAATCATTCTTCACTCTTGCGAAGCACCTCAAGATATCATAGAGAAAGACATTATCCTGCGAAGCTTTCCCTCTTGAGGAGAACCTTATTGTGTATTTGGAGATTTTCTCGGTCTTTCTGATTCCTCACGATCGTAACTGGGGTCCAGAAACGAATTTTTGGCAGTTCTTGGTTTGGTTCCGTTTCCAAGAGTTCTCCGAAAGTGAGCTTCGCCTGGTTGAAGTTTACTGAACCACCAATTCGTTCTTGATGTCGGATTGTACCTCCACATCAATGAATGAGTCGATTTCTGCTTCGTTGGGATCTAGACACCAAGGCATGAATTCTGGGAGAAGTAAATGCTTCGAAAGTGATTTTTCAAGGCGCTCTGCATAGCTTCTATGAGCAGGCACAGTTTGGGATTTGAAAAATGGTCCTTCACAATCTGGAAACATCGTCTCAGATTTCTTGAAGTTGTCGGAAAAGTAACCATGGCCATTTAATGAAGACTCACTATTATTCACGCTCACCCCATGCAAGTATTCTGACCACGAAATGATAGTGGTAAACGATTTGAAAGTATCTAGCGAAATGCTAACACCGAGTTCCTTTTTGGTGTCCATCAGTACCTCGCTTGTCAATAAGTATTCTATCCCGAAATCTTGTAGATGCAATGGCTTCTTATCTCTCGAGCTGATATACCCAGCAATATGCCCAATCCTCTCACATCTCAAAGGTTATAACCAATTCCATCGGCTGGTGAGCTGGATCCTTAATATATACTCCTTCCGACACGGTCTCGGCCACTGTATGCGTGAATCCTACATATACTCGACAGTCTGAATTAGATTCATCACAATCTATTCTCGGTATACACTGCAACATCGTGCCGCTTGAAAAAGAATGAAATTCTTCAGGATCATAACTGTTTGAACCTACCTCCACATCTGTCTCCATTCTTCTGATTCACGATCGGTAAAAGATTTTAATGATTTGAGTGTCTAGAGTTGATGTTGCTCTGATGCTTATGATTCTATCTCTGTGTACATATATTGCTATTCTGTATAGTCGAAAATATGGGCTTGTTAAGATCACGAGTTTGATGTTGGAGAGAGGTACTAAGGGGTAAGTACCAAGTCCCACGTCGTGACGTGTGTTAAATACTCGTCCATTTCAATCATCGCTTCAGATGGGAGTAACGCTTTCCACTATATATATGATTCACAAGTGTAGCAGGGCGGGTCTTTCTTGGAGGTTCTCTCATATTGTGATATATCGCATGGGATATTGGGGATGCGTTCTTCGAGTAGTATCTCTTAGCTCGGCTGGGTAGTCTGTGGTTTATCTGGGTTGCTTTGTTTCTTAACTCGATAATTTGTGGGACATTGGCTCGAATGACTTGCGAACGTTAGCTTGGTAATTGAGCGCATTGAGAACCGTAGCTTGATAATTGAATGGATCAGAACCTTAGCTCTGCAATTTCCTCTACAGAAGTTCTGCGCTAACTCTCATCTTTCGTTCTACACGCGCGCTCGTCGCAGTGATAACTACGCTCACGAATAACCAATGGGGAAAAAGTTTGTGAGGGTAAAAAGAACAAATATGTTATTTAGGATCAAGACATAAAAGTGCACTATGTTACAGACTACTACTAAAAGAAACATGAGATATGGGTTCGAACTTCACACTTTGAGCTTCGTAGAGTACTATATATGCCAAGGTCGTTTGAGGGCTTAGAGAAGGGACTCGTGAATCTCAATCTAAAAGCAAGCTCCTATTTTAATTTGCGTATTTCGTCATTGTGTCGGGATCTCTTTTGACGCGTGCTCTATTGGTTTGTGGTCAAATTGTGTGTTCTTTGGAATGTACTATTAGGGAAGTAGGTATTCTAGCAAACACGAAATTCTTTGACAGTGGGCAGAATGAGAAGATGTATATGTTCTGAACATCTTAGAACTGAACTTTGAGATTGTACGTCGTATCTTGTATTGTCCCCAACTCTGGTGTGTTTCAAGAAATCTTTGAAGGACTCTACTTGATCTCAGAAGCTGGCGCAAGGTGCGAGAGGGAAGCTGTCAATCCTTTGCAGGTTCTGGTCCCTCATCACTTTCATCATCATCACCGACATCACTTCTCAACTAAAGATTACACATTAACATTCTCTCTCCCCTCCGTCTACAGCTTCAACTACCACCAGCGAATACTATCGAGTCTCGACCCTCCCAAGTTCCAACTTTCTTTTGAAGATCCGTCTAGATATTCCCGCTCCAATTCGTCATGAACGAGATCATTTCGTCGCGCTTCCAATCATCATTCTGAGGATGCAATAGCTCAGCAGGCGATAGCAACATAAGTCAAACACCCATGGTAAACCCGACCAGTCCTTAAGACTAGCACAATAATTCAGACACCACCTCGAAAATTTTCCTGTTTACGAGATATGTACAACTAGAGAGATGAGATCTAAACCTAGAAAGAACCCCAAATTAAGAAAGGATGACCCCTAGCTCAGCTTACAGGATACCTGGTAGTTCCTCTCGCTGATAAATAATCACTTCTTCCCTCAAATCCCCCTCCTTCCTCTTCACTTCATTTTAATCGATATTTTGAAACGGAGAAGAGAGACACGACTAAGATTGTAACATCGATCAATTCAAATCTCGGGTCATCTCCACGTAAACAAGTATTTATTATCTATAACCAGCAATCCAGAGCATGTGAGCTTAAAACAATCCGCAAGATCGCATTCACCATTTTGCGCGCGCGGTACCTAGGTACTTAAGTAGGTAGAGTAATAAAACAAATGGTCCGAGTCTATCCACCTCCCTCTCGCTTCGCCAAACATCAACCCCGCAATACATTCACGCACCAAAAACAAGCATGCCGCCCCTTCATCAATAAATGTTCCGCTCCGCCGCACACCAACCAAAAATAATGGGTAACCCCTTCTTTCCAAATACAAACTTACAATCCCGAATATTCCCGTCCGTCTTGGTGATTTTTGTACGCTTGCTATAGATGGAGGTGGACAAGAAAGTTATACACACTAAATGATCAAATCAATTGGTAATATTCATTAATGTGATATGCGTTGACTTGTTTTATCTTTGCACACAGATGTTTTTCTATACGCTATCGTGTGCTGATCGATCTAGCATAAGTACATACAGATCCGATAAATATACCTACTATATATATCTTTGTATTTCCCATCCTTTCATCTACATCCCATCTACATCTCACCATCCTTTCCTCACTCACCATTAATAAAATAAAATACAAAAACGAAAAACCCCATCCTATCCAAATAACACTATAGTCCCTCCCCATCTCACACCAAAACAACACTCCCTCCAAATCCCCCACCACCACCACCACCACAAAAAACCCTCAAACCAAAAAATAGAATCACGGAGCAATTGAAGCTCCCTAGCCGGTTCGAACGACTGACCTGACGATAATAGCGAAACGTAAGAAACACCACTGCAATCGTCCGCTCTACCACTGAGCTAAGGAAGCGATTCTTGTTCTTGGCGTTCCCGTTGAAATGCAGTTTTATAAACTGTGTATTTTCACAGCACACTGGTTATTGATCATTTGAATCTAGATGTTGATATTGTAACACATGTGTGGATTTAAGCAGGGTTGTCTACTGTTCTCTGTTCAGCACCATACCATCTCATCCTTTCCTACTCTCTAATCCCAAGTGACTACCATCTCAATCATGTATTCATTCATCCATTCATTCCCACCCCAAACCCCCCAAACCCCACTTCCTCCCCCAGATCAAGGAATCTTCAAAATGTGAATCTTGCCCCTCCTCTCTACTACATTCCTCGGTTTGACACACATTTCATTTGATCCATCCACTTTTATCTTCAAATGGTCCTCTCACTCCAAAAGCGAAGCTGTTGACAAAGATACCTTCTCTTCTTTCTTCCCTCTCAACTTATATTCCCGAGTACACAGGTATGCAAAAGCAGTAACGACATATCGTACGAAAGGTAAAGAGAGAGTAAGGTCAAATCAGGGATCGAAGGTAAAGTCCAAGGAATATACATGACATGTGTACAGACAGTATAAGCTGGAAGATACATGGAACAGAGACAGAGACAGAGACACAGAGAGAGGCAGACATGTAGATATACATAGAGGTAAAGCTGGATAAAATAGATAGAATTCATAAAGATAGATATTCCACCATAAATGTAAATACAACTACAAATAAATATAACATAAGGTATCAATCATACCATTTCTGGTATATTTAAAAATATCAGAAAAGGGTTCAAGCTGCCAAGCTCAAGCTCAAGCCTAACAAGCTCCATGAATTTTGACCACGCCAAATCAATCAACCCGACCTCTAAACCCCATACCGAACCCAATAGACCAAAAGATAAAAGCAAACATATAAAGGAAGGAGTAAGGTGACTCCTTCCTCTCATCCAAACGCCATCCATCCGATTCCCTAACCCGAGTTCTCGTCCTATTCATACAGTGTGAGTATTCATCTCTTCTCTGCTCTCAGAGCGAGATCATTTGACCCTCTTGAATCAATCCCGCGACGTCCGTCTATATATAATGTATAGAATGTAAGAATGTCTTTTGCAATGCAATGATACGATGTGACAATCGATGTCATGTATGCTAGTGATGCCAATACAACAAAAGATAACCCCTCTCAGTACCATAAATAGGTA